GTTCTTCTGACACCAGGCCTTGAAAGCAGAATTTTTTTTTTCCCATAAACCATCTGACCCCCAGCGTTTATCTCCCTCAAAACGATCCCCCCCCGGCCTCACCTCCTCTCTCCTTGTCCTTTTCGCCGCCTACACACAGAATAATTACATCTAGAACCACATTCTTCATCCTGTGTAATTACAGCTGTGTCAGAGATGAAGACGGGGAGGAGGTGGAGGGGGGGGGTGTGTAGTTGGAGAGTCCCAGCGACAAGGACCGCGTGTCTGAGAACGTTAAAACACCAAAACTACAACAATCCATCTAATCCAACCAGTAGAGGGCGCTTAGCTCCTATCAAAACCCAAAGACCCCAGCCTTTAATGTTTGTGTCTGAAGTTTTAGCGCGCTAGCTGGGCCCGAGGAGGCCACGCCCTACGTGTTTAGCACTGATAACCTCCACAGAAGGCTTATCAGGACCAACACATCTGGTCCACTTCTACTGGAAACACAGACGAGTGTGTGTGTGTGTGTGTGTGTGTATGTGTGTGTGACATCAGAACAGTGGGTGACACCATTAGCTCGTAGCAGAACACGATTAGCTCGTAGCTTGTTCGGAAACAGCGGAGGAAAAACTTTGCCGGACGTTGTGTTAATGACGGACTCAAACCAAAAAGACAACTGTCCAATCAGAAATCGTAACGCTACGTCCAGATGGACATGCTTCTCTGTGATTGGTCGGTGTAAAGAAGTCAGCTGACTCTCTCTCTAACTCTCTCTCTCTTCTCTGGGCTGTAACCCTGACCCACAGGCGTGTGACTCACAGCCACAGATTCTTCTCTCTCAGCCAATGATCAGCCTCTAAATATCTGTGTCCAATCAGGTTCGTGCTCCAGGTGCCGTGACAGGTACGAGGTACCAACAGGATCCATTACTGGGAATCTAACGTCGGAACACTTTGTCACTGAGCTGCCGTTCATTTGTGTCATGGCGTTTGTCTGTTGTTGCCAACGTTAACATTACTTTGTTATAATTATATATAATTACTTGGTTTTTCTTTCTTCCTCCGAACAATAACAGGTATTTTAATCTACGACGTTGTTGCTGCTGCGCTGGTTTTTTTTTTACGACATCAGGAATAAGAATGATAACAAATGTACACAGTATATATTAGCTACTGGTTCATTAAAGGCTGCGTACTACAGTAGTGTATATTGTATACAGTATACAGCACTGTGTACTGTGTACTCTGTACTGTATACAGTACTGTGACCTGCAGATGAACTTTATGAAACTGTGGATTTAAGTTTAAAAAGAGGAAAAATAATTTGCGACGTCGATTCAAGTTCAAGTTTTCAAAGATTCAAATTTTAAAAAGTATCAGAGTGTCATCTGCAAACGTGATTACTTTTCTTAACTTTGGTGAATTATTAATAAGAAAGCAATAATAATATCAGTGTTTTCTGCATGTTTTTAAAGATGCATTAAAGCTAAAAAAAAATCATGCTGATAGTCAATCAGACAGTCAGTCAGTCAGACCTGCATTAAAGCTAAAAGAAAATCATGCTAATAGTCAGACAGTCTTCACAGACCGGCTGTCGTCTTTCTTTCTCCCGTCCCTGTCCAGCAGCTGTCTCCGTCCTCGTCCTCTCACAGCTGCAGCCAAACAAGGTGATTATTTTACACTCTTTACACCGACCTGATGTCAGCCTCCGCCCTGACAACACAAAGGAGCCACAACCTCACCCTCCTCACCCTCCTCCTCACCCTCCGACAAACCACACAGTGCTGATCACCAGGTCCAGAAAGTCTCATGTTCAAAGACCTCGGAACTGTTCACCATCAAAGTCAGGCAATTAAGGGAACGAGTGCTGTTTTAATCTGCACCAAAACACTCTAATCCAAGTTAATCCAAGTCACAAACAGTCTTAAACCCATGACTGTGACGGAGAATGAAAAAGTCACCGCAGCCGAGGCAGCAACGGGGTCAACGTCGGGTCTGGACCAGGGTGGAAAAAACTGATCACATGACCGGACTCTGACGGTGTAAACATCATCGAAGTCACAGCCGACTTTGATTGTTTAGGTTTCGGTGGACATCGTCACCTAGCTACACTCAGCTACACTCATCGTTTCAACCTTAAACGGTTGATCGTTGACCAAGTGTTTGACAAAAACCAAATGAACTCTGATTGGTCGTTTGGACTTCAGTACGGCTCTACTCCAGACTGACTCTGAAGACACGTTTTATTGACGAACATCTTCAGTCTGTTGTCTAAAACAAACCAAACCCAAACAAATACCCACTGATAAAATGTTGTCATGTTGTCATGTTGTCATGTTGTCGTGTTGTCACGTTGTCACGTTGTCATGTTGTCGTGTTGTCGTGACGGTTAAACAGAGACAACCACCGCTTTCAGAGGAAACGTAAATATTGAGCCGGTCCTGGCCTCCTCCTCACTGAGTGACTCAAACCACACAGACACAAACACAGAGAGAGAATTAACGATCAAACCAGAGCAGGGACTCTCCCCAGATGAACCAGCCTCTGTCTCTCAACGCTGCACCACCGCGTTGGTGCTGCAACCTGACTGAGAATTCCCCTTCAAACCCTTTACGTTTTACCACCTTAAAAAATGGAGTGTGGAGTAAAAAATGAATACACAGTGGAGCAGAGCTGTAAGGAAACATCTATAAACTGAAGTATCTCCTGATCCCGTATCAATCTCCTCAGTCATTGATCAGTTATTGATTTGTTTTTTCTCCCCAACTCCCAGTCCAATATTCCTGGTGTTGGTTCATGTTCTTGTTCTTTTCTTTCTTCTCTAGTGATTCCAAATGTAGATCCTCTGTTCCAGAGTTAGGAACTGATGTTCAGATGGAACAGAGTCATTTACAAAAACTCAGTATATCATCGTACCTGTAGTATCGGAGTAAATTGGAAAATATCGTATCGCCAGATTCTTGTCGATGCTCAACCCTACAGTTAACGTTAAATACAAAATATTTCTCAAAAGTAAAACACTTTAACAGCAATGAAAGCTAAGTTTTAAAAAAATATTTGTGATACTACAGTATCCTAGTAATTAGATTCTGAAGTGGCTCAACAAACTACAAAAGTACTTTTAGTCCAAAAGCAATCAGACCTCGGGGCGTGTGAGCAGAACTTTAGCTTCTAAACTGTGATTATTATTTTTTTTTTTTTAGCTTTAAATCTAATTTCTGAGTCACAGAGAATCACATTTTGAAGATAACGTTCACCCAGAGGTTTGAAAAGGTTTTAAAGAGTGGCATTTCAGTGGTTAAAACACAGAGACACCGACAGAA